GAGAGAGAGAGAGAGAGAGAGAGAGAGAGAGAGAGAGAGAGAGAGAGAGAGATTGATCATGTGGCATGTTCTGTCCTTGTTGTTGGCTGGGTGTACAGGAGTATTGGCCTCGGCATGAAGATGTGGGAAAGTGTTTGAAAATTGAATGTATTCCGCAAATCGGGGGCAAAGAATATCCCTCCTTCTTCGCTATGACTCCTGAAGTTAAAGCAGGTACTCTTTCCGTTATGATGTCTGTGTTATGGTGACTGAAGAGCAGGCCTTGTTCAACTCTGACTGGCATTATAATTGCATCAATGTTCCATTCCTCTCAAATGTAAAGAAAAGGAAGTGCTCAACAACTTCCCATTACTGAATTCCCGTGGGAAACTTCTTTTGTGAATTCTGTTCACATTTGGTGAAGCTTTCTTTTCATCGTGATTAAATTTCATCAAGTTTCGGAGTTGACATTGTGCCTGAAGTTTGCATTTGCTGAGGCTTTCAGACTGGTGATTGAAACCGGTCTAGTCCCTGTTTGTGAAACTATTTGTGAAGGATTGATCATTAATGATTAATGCAAATTTCAGCCACCTGATGGGGACGAAAGGCAACTTCATTGCCTCCCTGCAATGTAGTTGCTGAGCCACCTGTTTTCCCCCAGGAGGCTCGATAACTACATTGCAGGGAGGCAATCCTAGGGTGCAAGGTTTTATCAGACAGTATGCCAGGGGCAGACTGAGAGGGAAAACTCGGGTCTGACTTCTGGCATGCTTGTTTAAGGGGTTGGTATGAGAGAAGGGAGGGGACAGTGCTGAAAGGTGATGGGTGTGGCCCGGTGTGCTGACTGTAGATCATGGTAACCCCGGACCCGGACACCGGACCCTTTAGGACTGTTTCCCGGACCAATGTCTGGACCGGTCCGGACTGTCCGGTTTTCCGGACACCACCGGGCACCGGACACTGCCAGACACCGGACCTTCCGGACAGGCACCAGAGGTTCGGGGATGTCCGGACCACAAAAAAAAAAGAAAAAAAAAAAGAAGGGGTGTGGGGCGGGGCGGTGGTGTTCGCAGGGACTCACCTGTCTTGCTGCAAATCAACAACCACGGTTAACTAGCAAACAGGCAGAGTTCCGAAGAGTGCAAAGCAGGCACAAGACTAACGAAATAGAGGAAAAAGAACCAAGAGTCTTCAGACTGGCAGCACTGTCAGTCTCTCTCTCTCTCTCTCTCTCTCTCTCTCTCTCTCTCTCTCTCTCTCTCTCTCTCTC